TATCTATATATAGTTATATATATGTATATATATATATATATATATATATATATATATATATATATATATATATATATATATATATATATATATATATATATGATTTGGTGTGGATGCGTATCAAGCCTATACTCAGAAAAATTCTGAGCCCTAACGGGAATTGAACCACGTAACCTTCTGATTACCGGACAGACGCTCTAACCATTGAGCTATAAGGCATCAGATGGTGAGCCAAGGTTACGTTATTTACTAGTTCTGTGTGTTACATGTGTACTGCTAACTGCAAGTCCCGACATGTCTTGTTGATGTTATTATGAAGAACTGCATTTCTGTGTATGTGTGTTTTTGTGGCAGCTTGTAGAATATGTGATTTGGTGTGGATGCGTATCAAGCCTATACTGAGAAAAATTCTGAGCCCTAACGGGAATTGAACCACGTAACCTTCTGATTACCGGACAGACGCTCTAACCATTGAGCTATAAGGCATCAGATGGTGAGCCAAGGTTACGTTATTTACTAGTTCTGTGTAAATAACGTACAGAACTAGATTTGCTAAATTTAACTAGATTTGCCTGCAGTTAACGCTATAGCTAACTACACTTTATACATTAGATTTTGGCTGGCATATTAGCAAGTTTTGCTGCTTTGTTTCTCAAATTCATTAATAATTCATGAGTAATTCAGCCAATGATAATCACCTATTTGATCACAAGATGCCATTTGGATAACCCGGTGAAACTTGATGAAAGTCACTAGTGTTTTCATCAAATATCTTAATTACGCATGCAAAATTACTTGAATAGAATTCCTAATTACGTTATGCTTGGTTAAAAATTCTATTCAAATCAGCAAACGAAAACATTCTGTTACGTCTCGATTCATTTGAGAAGCCATATAAACAACTCGAGCTCGTGTCTCACCGGGATATCCAAACACTCGAAAACAATGTATGAAAACACTCGCGCTTCGCGCTCGTGTTCTCATACATTGTTTTCTCGTGTTTGGATATCCCGGTGAAACACTCACTCTCGTTGTTCATATATTACTTCTTGAACGTGTTGTGATGAACTGATAGCCTAATGAGTAAATGACGCCGAAATTCCTTGGCAAAACACACTTTAATAAGGTTAATCTGATAGATTTACAGTTCGATAACAGAGAGCGGAAAACTAAACAAAATCTCTTTGCGTCTTGTACAGAAAATAAATTGTTTTCATATTCTTCCTCCAAAATAAAAATGCGCCGCCCATGCTTGTCCGATTGCCTCCATGCAAACCTTGGCACAATGTTGAACAATAATAGTACAGGAGCGAAACCGTGTTTGCCATTTTTACTCATTGCAGTACTTTTAAGTATTGGCAATGCTAGGGGAGATTTGTTAATTAAAGTACTCTTCTTATTATTTTGTTTTAAGTATATACATTAATATGAATGACTTTTAGCTACTTACTTTTGGCGCAGATTGAACTGTTCCTATAAACAAGATAATGGAGATGGCTAAATAGATTTCAATGTTTCTTCCCATCATCAAAATTTAAAATATTTCTAAAAGAATAAACAGGAACATTTGAATGCGATTATAGGAAAAAACTAATGATTTAAATGTTTAACGACTGGGGTTTAAGGTACCGGTCACCATTCACAGATGAATGCAGTAACAGCCATGCATTGACAAAGATGGGCGTCGCTCTGCTGACGTCTACATCAAAACAAGATTCGCGGTTGCAGTGCACATTATAAACAATTCTGTATACCAGCCTCCCAAGCACAATTGCCAGTTGAAATTCCGAAGCGCCGAAGTAAGCCCTGAGGGGCGACGGTATGCTAATTCCGCTTCCGCACCAGGGGCGGACCCACACCGATGCCAACGATGCGAATGCATCGGTTAAAATTGAGAAATCATGCATGTTGCTTGAAATAATTTATAGACATATTTTGCTGTCGTCAATAGTCTAGCGCTCAGTAGTAGAATATCTTTCTAACCTATCTATCGAACAGCAAATCATTGCTTAATATGACTTCATGCATGTCAGCAATACACTAGTTCAGATGAAATCCAATTTAAATAGTCCCAATCGAAATTGTCAAAATAAGTCCAACATGCGACGTGCGATCGCAAATGTTATTTACTTTTCTTTGCGACACTTAAGCGTCAATAATTTCGCTTCAAAATATGTTATTTTTCACCGCATTCTTTAACTTCACAGTAGGAAAGCAAATGCATCACCTACGTCACGGTAGATTTCGTTTGCATCCATATTTTGCCATTTTGCATCAGTGAATGCATCGGTCCCGAGTGCTTTCGGCTTGAAATGTTCTGTGACATTATCAAGTCTATTGTTTTATAGCCTTTTAGATTGAGGGCTCTCGCATTGGTCCATGGCCACTGATGCCAATTGCAAAATAAAATCTACTGTGACGTAACGAGGCATTCGATTCGAGTCATGGCGACAAGGATATGTAAACACTCTATGCAAATGGTATGAGACAAATAAATGCTTAATTTCAATCTTTTGCGAAGAAATATCCCTCGAAAGAACAAAATAATTACAGTTGAACTAACTACCAAGGCTTGCAATGAATCTAATCTTTAAACTGAGTACAAAAATTGAAGAATATTTATACTGTGAAATGCCCACTATAGTCTATATGCAACTCGAACTGAGGGCACTATTAAAGTAAGTAAGATTTATCTATATTGCGTTGTCGTGATTTTTTTCCGAAAAGTTTTTCAATAGAAAGGTTAAGGCATAGATTAAGGAATGAATAGATGGCTCACTCCTTTGATGTTTTTGACGCTGCCGGCGCCCACGCATGTTCTTGCCAGAGTAATGGCGGCCTAGCAAGTAACTGTAGTAAAATGCATTGTAAAATTGACATCGGTGCTACTAAATTCTGTATTTTTCCGCTTTTGGGGGGTTTAATGGAAAGATAAATCAGAATTATAAAAATACAGAATTTAGTAGCACCGATGTCAATTTTACAATGCATTTTACTACAGTTACTTTCTAGGCCGCCATTACTCTGGCAAGAACATGCGTGGGCGCCGGCAGCGTCAAAAACATCAAAGGAGTGAGCCATCTATTCATTCCTTAATCTATGGTTAAGGCTAGAAGGAAACGCAGTACTGCATGACTATTTTTGAATACAGACTTATGTGCCACTGCTGCTAGCTATTACACTTGTACAAGCAAATATTTTTTCTTATATGGAGAAATTATGTTGTTTTTGCAATATAGGTTCACGTTTTTTACGTGTTTTTCCAAAAATGCATGAGCAAATAATTGTGTGAGTCTGATGTTTGAATTGGAACAAAAGAGTTTTTGCGCAGAACGGAGGAAATCGCATTTTTTCGAGGTCCTAGGAACTGGATCCACCCCTGTTCCGCACGGCTGCAGGGTTCACTCTATAGACGCGATAATTGGGGGGGGGGGGTAGGCGTGTATATTCATATATTCATGTTCACATACAGTAAAAACAATCGCCTTCAAAAGAAATCCGTCGGGCAAAACAGGAATATATTAATATATATATATATATATATATATATATATATATATATATATATATATATATATATATATATATATATATATATATATATATATATATATTTAATATATATGTACCTCCCAATTATCGCGCTAGGAACGGCCCTTAACTAATGCTTTCCTTACACCAGGGAAAAGGAAAGCACGTAGAGAAGTCTACATTTCAGCAATAAACGCAGGCGCGCAGCTAGATTTCTTCGTGCTATATATATATGTGGTCATTCTCACTGATCTAAAAAATACAGCTGTTTGCCAGGGTTGAAAGAAGCAAAAATTAAAAATACATGTAAGAAAGTTTGGATAATCATTTTCGCGCAATAAGTTGCAGAATTTTTTCCATTTTTTAAAGAAACGACCAAAATTGTTTTATTATAACAGATCCTGATGATTTGGATAAGTTTGTTTCAACTGGACATGTTCCGGTTAATTTCCTTTATATTCATTGTTTCTGAGTTAATTTCTAGAATTAATTTCATTTCTATTCTTAATAAAACTAAAAATAAAAGGAAGGTAAATTATTTTCATTAGTGACAGGTATAACTACTTAAATCTATTTTACTTCAAAGCTGAGGTAATAAGTTAAGAGTTTTTCTATTCGATGCGTTTGATGTTACGGAATTCCACACTCCCAAAATATAGCCTACATAAAATGTATAATAACATCTCTAATTTATATATTATTTTAGTAATTATTGATAGTTCTCTAGTTAAAAGTGTTAGACTTTCATAGTTTACTTTATAATAAAAATATAACTGTATTTTTTTCGTTAACGATGGTATTGGCAAGGCTCTCATAACGCGAGCAACATAGAACAGCTAATTTTTATTATAGCTAATGTAAAATATTTATTGCTGATTAATAATAAAGGTCTTTAATTTTTTTGTTCTCCAGAAAATCGAAAATTGTGTGGAGGAGAGGAAAATACACAACAACATCTAGGTTATGCTGCTGTTTAGAAATACAACTGTATGAATGTTTTTCAACAACTGTATAAATTTTCCTTTCGTTGCTATATTCCAAAACAGTTCGTATATAACTGTTTGTTCCTGCATGTTTTTTCCCTCTGTAGAATCTCAATGTTTCAATCCACTTCGAATTGGGAATTATAGCACTCTTGTAAATTAAAAATTTAAATATTTCTCCCGGAAGCAGATATTAAGTGTATAAGATCGTACTCTATAGCCCTTAACTTCCTCGGTTAATTAAATATATGGACTATAACGTCCCGTAAAGTAACATTTACCTCTGTACAAATCTGTATCAAGTTCGTTGGTTCGATTCTGCGCTACGAATATTCTTTCCTTCTTAATATACTTCTATTCGAAGTCGTACGGAATAATGTGTCTGACACAAATGAATATGCATGAATATATAATATGAGATATCAAACTATGATATTATAAATCTCAAACACTCGTTAACAATTCATAAGCTTATTGGCAAATCATGTCAACCATAATATGTTACGTGCAGTGCGTGGCTTTAAACCTGATAAAACACTCCTAATTAGTATTCTTTATAAAAAGAATATTAATAAGGCAGTATCTATTGTAGTCGTGTCTTCATTGGTATTCTTTATATAGAATACTAATCAGGCAGTATATCTACAGAATTTGTAGTCGTGTTTTAATAAACTCGCAGGACGTGTTTTAATTGTTAAGTCTAAAGCCACTCGCGCTGCGCGCTCGTGTCTTTTAAACCAAATAAAACACTCCGGCTCGTTTATTAAACAGTACTTAAGTTAACATTATGAAACATCATGTTATTAAATCTTTTTTCTCAGCGTGAAAGAAATATCATTTCACGCTTGACTGAAATTTAATATGTAAAGTAAATTTATAAACAAATTGGGCTTAGTTAATGGTGAAATGAGGTATAAATCGAAGTTAAGTGTAATGAAGTGTCCCTATAGAAATGAAAAAGGTCTACTGTATACACGGTACTATACCTGCATGGAAAAGTCGTAAGGTAGTGTGTAACATCACCGATCAACAAAACAACAGAAATATTAATCCCCAATGTAGAAATTTAAAGTTAGCTGATTGTGACAATACTTTGAAGCAAGTATATAAGTGCTTTTTTCCAATAAGATTAATGCAGTGCAACAGTCGCATTTTTTTCCACTAGAATAAAACAGTGCATGCTCTCTTTGAACGGATTGTAATAAAAAATAGCTTGACTCCAGGCTACATAGGACCGAATAAATTAGTTTTGATCAGCATGGAAGAAAAATTGTTGAGGGTATGATATTGTTCAGTGCTAGCAGTTCAATATAAGTTTGATTTAAACAAGAATGCTCAGCGTGAAATAAATCCTTCACCGCAGAAAATTGTTCTAATTTCACACCTGCTTGGTAGCATTTTTGCTAATTCAATGCGAACAAAAGCAGTAACACAAGAGCTGTGGTCCGGAGACACTTACCACTTATTTACTGAGACCGAAGGAAACAGTGTGTTTTGTGGACTCGAGACCGTTGATGTTTCCCGAGGCGAAGCCGAGGTCGAGGGTCCACTGACATGTTTGTATTAGGCAAAGACAAATATTTACTTCTCGTGTATTATTATTCAAAATACTTTGAACTAATTAGATTCACACACAGCAAAAAGTCATTTTCTTACTGAGAAAATATATCTCATCTTAAGAATTATTTTCTTAGGCAAAGAAAAATTTTCTGATGCGAAGAATATTTTTCTCATTTTAGGGGACAAAATCTCGACTAGAATTTAATTTCTTAAAATAAGAAATTATTTTAACCCACAGAATTACTCACTTTGGTAAAAGAAATTTTTTTCTTGATGTGAGAAAAACTGTTCTTAAGATGAGTAAATAATTTCTTGATAAAATAAAAGTGATCTTCAAGCTGGGTTACAGTCCATTCTGCGCATGTGCGGGCTTTGTTTACATATTTTGTTTTGGTTTGGATCCACTTCAATTGTATAATATGAAGTATACGGCTATGCACTAAACAAATTATAAATGAAGGAACCAGGAGTAAAGTAATTTTTTTTTAAATTAACTGTCTTCTGAAAGACAAGCAATTAAATATTTTAACAGACCACCAATGGAACTATCGCTGATTAATTCGACATTTTTCTTTCGTGTGTTTCGTTTATAATGAAATATCCAGAAGAGGCCGACACAGCAAAGGTGCCGGGTGCCGGTTCTCAACCACTGTACGTATTCTGAATATAATGTTCGGCATTGTAAAATAAACTTTGGAAGTGCCAAAGTAAGCATGAACTTTTCCTTGGGTTATTTGTTCGTCGAAACACATTGTCAGAGTCATTGTTGCTGTCACGGCAGATCGAAGCACTCGGAGAAATTAAGCTTTTCGCTGGAAGATATGTGGAGACGATATGTTCGTGTCGCGGCTTCTGTTTACGATAGAGAGCCTGCAAAAGTATGGGTAGTTTTTGCTCAAGTGTGTGCCACGAATAGGGTTTTGATACATGTATGAACAATCGAAGGGTTCAAGAACGTGACAGTGATCAGATGGTA